AGTCATGGACCGAAGTTTTTTACGAATGTAGTGCATATGGGCAGCCCAGTTTAACTTACTATCTATAACAATACCTAGGAATTTGGTATCCTTGACTTTAGTAATAACCTTACCATCGATGAATATTGACCTAGACTCATCTAGCAGGTTAGCAAATGGTCTGGTCCTTGCACAGGTCTCATCATATTCAGAGGCAGGTTTAAAATGGATGTAGCAACATTTAGACATATTGATATGGAGTAGATTACATTTCATGTAAATCGACACATGTTTAAGAACTAAGTTTGCTTTTTTGTATGTTGCTTCTCTAGATGGTCCTGATATAAAGATATTAGTGTCATCAGCATAAAGTACAAATTTCACCTCACTGTCAGAAAAACAGTTCACTATATCGTTCATATACAGTAGGAAGAGTAACGGCCCTAGAATTGACCCCTGTGGTACCCCAAATTTCACATCCAATGTTTCTGATGGTACATCGTTATACATAACATACTGCTTTCTGTTAGTCAAATAGCTTTTAAGTAAGGTAAGTGCTGTGCCCCTAATACCATAGGAGTTTAATTTGCTTAGAAGAATGTTGTGGTCAAGGGTGTCGAAGGCTTTGCTTAAGTCAATGAATATTCCTAAGACATGTTTATTGCCAGCTAGAGTCTTTGTAACGGAGTCTATAGATTTGTGTAGAGCATGAGTGGTGGAATGACCTTTTCTAAATCCAAACTGTGAGTCTGTCAGTACACCTTTAGATGTGAAGAAATTATAGAGCCGTTTGTAAATGATCTTCTCGAAAATTTTTCCAAATAAAGGTAATATTGATACAGGCCGATAGTTTTCAATACATTCCTTATTGTCTTTCTTGTAAATAGGAATAACTTTACCAGTTTTAAAAATACTCGGGAATGTACCACTTTGTATACATGTGTTGTAAAGCCTGGCCAAGGTACCAGCTATGAGCTTTGATGATTTCTTTACAACAATTATTGGTATGTCACTCGCCTTGCCATTTTGAAAATCTTTGATCACCTCGATGATCTCGTCTTTATTAGTTTCTTCCAGATAAATGGAGTCAGATACTGAATTTGACATGAACTGAGCAAATGATTCTATTGGTTCCAGAGAAATACTATTGTTCGTCAGTACATTTTTATTGAGATTACTTGCAAGAGATGTAAAATATTCACAAAATTTGTTAGCAATTATTCGTCTGCAGGTTACTCTCTGACCGTTTATGACAAAATCGTCCTTACATCGAGACGTAGTTTTACCACGGAGTTCATTAATAACTTCCCACGTCTTTTTGGAGTTCATGCTGTACTTTTCGAATTTTCTAGTGTAGCACATAGCCTTTGCCATATTTATTGAGCTTTTGAGAAACTTGTCGAATTCCTTGTAGCAAATGTGCTTATTCGGATCCCCGTCAGGTAATTTTAATGTACAAGTCTTTTTCCATTCGAAATACAATCTAGCTTTCTTCTCGATGGAATTAATTAGGCCCTGGGTAATCCAAGGGTTGGTTATGCTATTACGTTTAGTGGTTCTTGGAGTTAGAAGTTTGCAAGACAAGTCTATTTTTTCTTGAAATAGCTGCATAAAAGAGTCAAATGTGTCACAACTGTAGTGGAACCTATCTAAATCGTTTTCTATTTCAAGACAGAGCTTCTCTAGGTTAGCATTACTATAGTCGTAGTGTATAGTAATTTTGTCTGGTGAATCAGATAGTGACACAGAGTCGGGGGAAAGCTTAACAAAAGTGAATATAGGGTGGTGATGGGAGATCTTGTCAGATATGACACCAGAGATAAGGGATTGGTCTAATACATTGGTGTGGATATTGTCAATACAAGTCCTGGAACAACCAGGCATATGGTGAGTTGGCACTGATATGGTTGGTATAAAGCCATTGTTAAATATTATTTCTTGGAATTTGTCCTCTGATGAAGATGGGTGGTTTAAAATGTTAACATTGAAATCCCCAAGGATATATACCTTCTTGCCATCCAGTTTAGAGAGAATACGTTCATATGCTTCGTTAAACAGTTCAAGTGATGCGTTTGGAGGACGGTAGATAACCCCTACAACGGTTGGGTCTTTCATACTGGTGATAGATACAAACAGTGATTCTATGTGCTCATTACAGAGAGATAATCCAGTAATCTTATTAAAGTTTAGAGAGTTTTTCAGGTAAAGACAAACTCCTGATCCTTTAGCCTTGAACTGGTTTTTGTCTTGACAGAAATAACGGGATTGGTAACACGAGGAGTATCCACTGAGCTGATATAGTGTTCCATTGTCAGCATCAGTGTTTGTTTCTGCAAGACCAATAACAGAAAACTTGTGGTTTATACTAGACTGCTCAACTGCAAAGTTGTCAAAGTTTGTTGCATTCCCATCAATGTTGAAGAATAAAGTGGACATATATTCGACTGAATTTCCAGGCAGGGTGGTGGCATTCAACTCTGTTATGGAGAATGTTTTGCAGTTTTCAAGAATTTTTGAGCTGTTGTAGATAGATTCAATATAATTAACTGGCTCATCATCAATAAGGCCGTTGTTAGCAAAGTGGGGAGCTTGGTAGAAAGGGTTGTATCGAATAATATCGTTGGCTTCAATACAGACTTTGCAGTATATTTCATCTCGAAATTTGACTATGTTGTCATTAGTTTTGCATTTTTTGTGCATTATTTTGTCACACATCTGACAAATTATGAAAGGGTGTCCAGCTCGTACAGGTTTATTGCAGCAGCAGCAAATTTCGCATATCAATTTAACTATCATGACTGAAATATAGATCTACGTGGTCGTGGGGAAAATCTGCCTCTAGCTTTGGCATTAACAACATCACTGAATGATCTCCCGTCAACAGAGCTACCAAATATCTTGTGAGCAAAAGCCCGGGAGAGTTTGAATATACCGTTTGATCCAAGGTGAATTGGGTCATCCGGCTTCTTATATCTACAAAACTGCTGATTCAAGCTCGGCTTGACGTATCTGCTAGAGGATTTTGGACTCCATTTGATAAGACCTTTCTTGACATAAGGGTTTAACACCCCAATTGCTTATCAAGCAGGACCAAAACTCTTCAAGAAGTATACAAAGAGAACGAAAAGGAGAAGAAGGATGAGTACTTGGAGAGAGTGTTGAACATAGAGAAGGCCACTTTCACCCCAGCCGTATTTCTCACAACTGGAGGCATGTCCAAAGAATGTAAGCGGTTTCTAAATAGAGTGGCAGACCTCATCGCCAGGAAAGGAAAAGAGAGGTATTGCGATGTGGTAAGACATGTAAGGACAAGAATAAGATTCCCTATGTTAAGAATATTTCATATTATATAATATTGGTAGCAGTGGACAATTTCCGTTACCTCAGTATTGTGCTCTGCCAATTGCAACACTTGAATTACTTAATTGTATTATATATACTGTTTGACATTTTTTCATTCATGAATTATTTAAAAAAATATATATATCAACAGAGCTACACGTGTCATTTAAAGAATTGTAAGGCTTCACTAAAGGAGTATAGTTTAGTATAGAATTATTTTACGCAGTGTACTGCAGAGTACCTTAAGAACTCGATAAACAAGGAAATTGCCAAACAGTATTATATATATATAGTACTCAATACTATATATAGTACTCAATAAATTAAATCAAGTGATGCAATTGGCAGAGCACAATCGTAAATCATGAGCAATAAATATCATCCATCCCTCGAAGCTCTTCTCCTCAGGTATTAGGTGAAAGAGACATTAGATATAGGGCAGTCCATGCCTTCTTTGCCTTCCCACGTACACCTCTAACTGCTGCTAGCACACTCCTCATCATATCAATGCTCAGGCGTGTCCTGATATTACACATCACCTGGCTAAAGTCCTCCTTGGTTTTAATGGCTATCAACACAGCAAGTTTCCTTATGAAAAGCTTGGCCTCGGGTGCCATTCCTGTTGTGGTAAATACAAGGGGGACGAATGACCCTTTCACCAATTGTAGCACTCGGTTCATGTACTTGTCCTTTTTCTCATTCTCGTGCAGAGTGTAGAGCTGAGGCATGGTCTTTCCTTGCTGTGTAGACGATTTGGAATCGAAAATGCGCACGTCAAAGAAAGTCCTTTCAAATGTGCTCCACACTCCTCTTGTCATACCATGAGTTTTCACTTACTACGTGACGCGCTTGTGCAAGCAAGAGGGCTATGGTTAGAGCAAAGTGACATCCTCATCTACCTTCTATCAAGGACACGAAAACTGGACCTGTTTGACTGAAGACTTGAAGAGTATATTATTGCCCACACAAAGGAGACGGCGGATAATAAGTTCAAATCATATCAAATCAACACACAATGATACATAAGATCATCACAATTATTCACAAAAATATCTTAGTCTATCTCCATCAGTCCCAGAACATCACAAACTTATCAGTGGCATGCTGATTGCTGAAGGGTCCTGTGAAATTCTATGCTCACTGTCCATTTAGGAAGTTCAGATCATAATTTTTTGACTGTTAAATAATGTTTTAAATTTAACTTTTGATTAGTATTTCAATTTGATAAACTCTGTAAATGTTATCTTAACGGGAGCTGATTGAGACAATTGGTCACTGCAAGTTGGTGCTCAGCTGACCTCAGACTCTATTGTAACACAAGATAATCCAAAGAGAGAGAGAGAGCTGCTACCATGGCTCCCCTGTTACTCATTGCATATCGCAGTTTATAGATTTGGAGTACAGCATACAAACGATGTAAAAGTTTCAGTTTGGGATGTTAAGTGGTTTTTTGGAACTTATTTACTCCTATTCGGATATTTATAATTCAATATGTATTGATTCTTCTGTGGAAAATAAAAATTGTATTTTACTTAAAAATTGTATTTTACTTATTATTTGGCACCCCCAGCCCCAGTGCTCAGTGAAAACTCAAATGATTACTGTACTGCATTATTGTGCATAATTGAAAGAAAGGATACAATTTCCAGTTTATCAGACTTTCATCTTTAATTTCTCTTAGATAAGGCCATGGGAAGGGAAAGCAGACATTTATGGATTGGAAATGTTCCTGACAATGCTACTGAAAACACTATTATTGACTATTTCACTCCGTAAGTTAACAGTGATTATCCCATTTGCCATTATATCTCTATTAAAATTCCAGCATGGCATGTGATTGAATGATCAATATAATAATTAAACAAAGTTTGGTACTAAAGAGCAGGATCGACTAACAACATTATCTTCAGATTTGGAGAAGTGGATAAGATGGAGTTTCTGACTACAAAGGACTCCCCGGCAGGGGTAACTGCGGTAGTTTCCTTCCTTAGCCTCCAAATTGCTGCTAAAATATATAAAATGACTCACAAGATTTCTAACAATGCTTTGACAACACGTTATCACGACTTTAGTGCCAGCACTCAAAGTGACAGTAAATCTGAAGTTAAGGAGAAAAGGACAAGGAACGAAGATTTTCAGAGGTATGAAAGTGAAGTGGTTATATCGGGAATTTAAAGAATTTAAAGATTTAAAATTAAACAGCCAGTGCAGTTCCAATTCAGTAGTTTATCTATCGAATCATGATTTCGAAGGTTTTCTATCTTATAAGTAGAACATTTAATTTTCATACTAGATGGAGATTGGAGGCATAGACTTAACATCAATTTAGATGTTTATTTTTTGTATACTTGTTTCACTGTTTTTGATCATCTAACTGACTGTCATAACTACTTTTAGCAGAAAGAGAAGTGCATCGCCAGCACGAGGCCGGGAAATAAAGCGCAAGGTTGACATTGCACCTGGTGCAGGTGCGGGGCGCACTCAAGACCGTGGAAGTACTGGTGGAGCTACTGGTGCAGTAGCTGGAGACACTGCCTTCGAGTACCGGAAGCGTGTCATTATCTGTCATAACTTGCCTGGAAACCATTCAGGTTCGGGTTTGTTTTATTATTTTGGTATTTCAAATGTGTGCGAGGATTTTAAAACATTCGCTGATGGCGTGCGGTGTTGTTTAAATTTCGTTACTCATTCATAAAATTTCATAAAAATGTGGGGGACTTCTGTTTGGGAAAGTGCAGTAAAAAATTATAAAATTCGAATGGCGATTCCAAATACGCTTTCCAATCTCCAGTTTATATTACTATGAATACATAATTTTAAATACTGTATGTCATCAATTCTCATGGAAATTGTTGATCTCATACGAAAACCGAGCTAGAAATATTGTTTTTAATTGTGTAAGTAATTATGAAATTTGATCCTACTCAAAGCCATATTCATATGAAACTGCATAATATTCTCATTTTAATGTGTGTTTCTACTAACGTGGTCTTTTTGCCTTCTGGCACAAATTATTAGTGGCGAGATGAGCCATATTTGGTTTAATGAGAGTAATTCTTGGATCTGGATGGTTGCTGCCAGAAGCTGATAAATTTATTGCTGTTGGTTGGTAGCTGTATTGCTGTCACGGACCCACCGTACCTCCCTCTATAAAGATAGCCTACATTTTTACTATTATATCATGAATAAAATGTGATATATTTAACATCTTATTTCAGTGCACGCACTGTCAACGGGGCTGTACCACGAATTCAAACAAATTGGTAAGATAAAACAACTGTGGATGAACACAGACCGAGGGGTCAAGACAGCAGTTATAATGTACCACGAGTAAGAACGAAATCATGTATTATTTAGCGCTCAGCTGCTTTCTAGGCTGATTCAAATCAAACCCTGTAGATCCACTGATTAGTGATTACTTCTTGCAATCACCCCCTTGTTTGTTTACATCAAAGAGATCCGGGTGTGTTTTGTTAAAGGTGTTTATTTTTGTTCTTTCAAAGCTCTTTTTGGGCTGCTGAATGGGAGATCAATGATATGTTTGTATCTCGGAGATTTCGCTGCTGTTTCGGCTTCAAGAGTTATGGTGAAGAAATGTTGCCGGGATGGACTTTCTGCTGTTATTCACGATTCAGAAAATGTGTTCAAGTTATATATCGTCTATCATCTGAGATCATTTGGATGGTTATTAATTGGAGTGGTATAAATCTGATTAATTGGAATTAATCTACCTTTGACGACGAAGAACGGGACGAAAGATGGACATTTTATTAAGTGAAAAAATAGCTGCTTATAGGACTTCATGCCCTTACCTTTGGAGCTCTTTTCCATTTTGATGACTCCTGGCTGAGATGAATCAGAGCCAACCCGCCGGACTGCAGATCCCACATGGGGCTGTCACATTTAATCAAAAAGGGTCTTCTTGTAATTGAAAAGCTGTATGTAAACACGTATTAATTATTGCGCGCACGTGATGTCATCTTAGTGCGCGGTGTTTATCTTGTGATGAAAATCTGTTTGGCTGGTTACTTTATCGTCCTTTGACAGCTCAGCCATGGAGGGGTCTTGAAACATCAAGATTGTGGCCAAAGATTTTGTTCCAGAGGAAGATTATTAAAGTGCCTGTGTGTGGGCGACCGCTCGATGGTTCATGGTTGCTTTACGACGATTCAGAGATCTATAAAAGACGTCAGAGATGGATCTCGACGAATATCGCAGAATTTTTCTGTTCCTCTTATACAAATGTTGAAATTTTTAGGAATATCAACTCAAGGAGCTCAATCTTTTCTACCTCTCCCCTATTCAACACCACTGCTGGTTCACTCTGTTTCACAAGACCCTGTTTCATCCGATTTCTTATGGCATGGCTTAACATGGTAGTTGAATGGGATGGAAATCGTTTTAACTAAAGAAGCTGCAGTTTGTATGTTTTTATACATCGTGAGTTTCAAAGACCGGACTTATTGCCAAAGAAATATCATATCATTGTACCGAGACGAGTCCAGAAAGACCTTTCTTTATTTAAAATCTTTGTTCTTAAATCTTCAACACTTCTGCGCTCCTTTTTATTCTCTGGAACTTTGTTTATTAAGTATAATCATAGAACATCTCTAAAAGGTAAGAGTTGTTGGTTTACGTGTGTATCGACAAATTTTACGAAATGATCCCAGTTTCATATAATTCACCCACCGCATTTCCACACTGTTTTCCTCGATTTTGTAAGAAGCGATCATTTGATTAATCATTGAATTGCTGCTTTAGCGAGTGCCTGTTTTCTCAATTTCCTATTTTCATATTTACCCTTTTCAGTTCTCAAGTGGCTCACATGGCCTTCGATGAGCTGAACCGAAAAATGCTGTTTGGAAAAACACTCGATTTAGAGCTTGTCAAAGGTATCAAAATTATTATATTTGTGCATTTAAAAACCTGCATCAATTGACTGTACCAAGTTTTGCCTCGCTGGATGGGCATTTGATTTAAGCTAAACACTAAACAGGGGGGGGGGTCCACGTTAAAAAAGTTAAATTCTAAGATCGAGATTTTGGAATTTAACATTAATTACTTTAACTTTTTTAACTTTTTTAACATAAATTAAAAATCAGATTTTGGCTGACTAATCGGTTCAAATTTTAACATAATTACCCAAATTAAACTCAATTATGAGTGTTGACCTTTAGTACTAGTAGTACCTCGCTCTTGCAATTGTTTTCTGTAGTTGTAACTGATTTGATAACTCTACAAAAAAAAACACCTTGTATCTATATATACACACAATTGTATAATTTACTAATATAATCATTCATATAATACGAAAAAAGAATATGGCTTGGCGGTGTAAGTGCGGAAGGGTTATGGAAAGTCTCACATACGACAGATGTTTACGTTGCAATTTAGCGAAGGCATCAGGAGAGTCGCTCATTCGATTGAAGGGTTCCTGTAGCTGTAATCCCTGTACCCGAACCATCTACTGAGGACACATCATCAGGTATTGATACTCCGGAGCTTCCTCCAGCTGTAATCCCTGTACCCGAACCATCTACTGAGGACGTATCAGTTGTTGTCAACACTTCAAAAAGGGCTGCTGATTCAAGAAAACAGCACTTAACAAGTTGTCTACACGACTCATTGAAGGTGGAACTGCAATCAAGAATGAGAATCAGCAGGGAAATCGGGACAAATTGAACTCTAGAAATACTCCTCCAACAAGTTCTCTGAGTACAATTAGACTGCCAGTACACGATGGAAAAGGTGATAAGCCTGTAATTGCGAAGAAAGAGACTGTTTTAAACAAACTTTCTACAAGATTCGCCACAGAAGATGGCACTTCCACGCCGAAAAACAAACTTTTTAAGGAGAAATCCGGAAGAAAGGCGCTCGATGCCGAAACGATTAAAGATAGATGCACGGTCAGGACGAATTTTGAAATTGAATTGTGGAAGTGTAACGACATGGTACCTGGCCAGATTATCAAGGCCAAAGCAATTCAACGGGTTTTATTCAGACTTGGGTGTTCTTTAGAGGAAGCTTGCCTACAGAATATATACAATATTTTCGGAGGAAAAAAATCCAGGTGTCCTACGTTATCAATTGTGCGATCCATGGAGCGGGTATTAAGACTAAAATCTAAGAAAAGACCTCGTCGGATCACGGATGATGAGTATTTTACCTACCCCGGAATGTCAGAATGGAACAAAGAGTACAGATGATGTGGTGCAGAATACTGTGCATCAGCCATGCCCAATAGCTAGAGTGAAACCAATCTTGTCATCGGAAACTATTCAATCTATTCCAAAAATACAAGGAAAGCTGTCTACTAATTATGTCCATTCAAATGTGACAGGGAAGCATTCTTTTGCCTTTATTTCCCACATTGCGGTAATGCTAGAGATAACTAGATCACTAGGTCCAAGCAATTTGAAAAGTTGTGACGATGAGGAACTTGTGCATAGATCGTTGAATGAAATAAACAAGAAATGCGGCCGCTTTTCTTTTGTGGATGGCCGCTCAATTTCCCGATCCGTGATGGAGTATTTGATCATATTCCATACCACCTGTGGACCCCAGTCTTTACTGTTTATAAGCATGCAGATATGGCGGAGTGACAGGCCGAGCGCCGCCCTGTTGATATAATTCCATATTTAATTTGAAAATCGTGTATATTTCTATGTAACCATATGTTTATTGTTTATGCAACCTGACACGGATCTGTGCAAAATAGTAATACTAACTCAAAATAATAATAATATGCTATCAATTAGTCCCTAGCGGGATGCGTACATGATGAAATTAACAATGTACTTGAACATTTCAGCACCGCGCGCCAACAATTGTTTAATTCAGATTTTCGCGCAAAATAACTTTGTGCAGGCAGACACGTGGGCGAAACGTACGCAGACACGCACGCTCGCACGCAGGTACGGTCGCAAAGCTACCATATCCCAAAAAAACCTCGATCGCTAACCCTTGTCCTTGACTCTTTTGTGCCTTCGGCACTTGAGTCATGGATCGGGAAAAAATAATCAGGATTCAAAAAAATATCTAAATGTAATTGATAGCGCGGAAGATATTGAAAATGAAGTCCCTGAAGTCTTAAAGCAGGTAAAGAACCTATTGGGGTGTGTGAAAGTGAAACAACCAGATCGAAGTTCTGTTTCAAAACATAGATGCTCTCATAATCTAAAGAGCCATTTAGCCAGTTATATAATATAATAACATCTATAAACAAAAGAGCACCTAAAGAGGCTCAGCAAAGTGCTGGCCTATTTACGCTTACGAAGACTCATTCGTTCAATATGTCTCAAAGTAAATAAACTCCTCCATCCTACTCTATCTCTTGCTAAGTTCACTAAGTTGGTAAAATCATCTTCATTTTTTAAATAAATTTGTCTCTTAAATAGGTCCTTTTCACAATAATATCATACAAATTAGTCCTGTGTCTACCCACTCGTCCCTTTAGTGTTTGACATCCTAGTGTAGCAAATAACAGAGACTGGTAGGCAGGTGTGTCGTTGTCACTGCGTAGAACATGACCTAGCATTGTCCACCGTGCCTTTTCCACTCTCTCGGAAAGGGGCCTGGTCTGGGTACGAGCGTAGAGGGCCTTGTTAGATATTGAGCTAGGCCAATATGTGTGTAGGATGCGCTTGAGGTGCTTCCTCTGAAGAACATCTACAGACTCTAGAACATGCTGAGGTACGGCCCAGCAGTAGCAGTTGTACAGGAGCACTGATACTACTAGTGAGTCGTAGAGTTTGATCTTTCTCTTCTCAGTTATCTGACTCCTCTCTGATCCCTGGCACCACAGCTTGTCAAATGACCAGAAGGCAGAGTTAGCTTTATTTATTTTATTAGTAACATCCTGCTCTGATCCAAGCTTAGTACCAAGAAGCGTCTCGTTTCTCCACTCCTCTTTTCCTCTTAGTTCATTATCCCACTCGTCACAGGCACCAACTTCTTCTAAATACACTCTGGTAAACTTTGTCTTTGTGTCATTGACAAAGAGACTCCATTCACTGAGAATATTCTTGGAGATCTGAAAGATATCCTGTAACTCCTCCATATCTTCACCTATCTCCTCTACATCGTCTGAATAGCCGGACTCAAGAGGCATGTGGTTATCGGCTATCGGAGGGTTGGGTCTTGAGGGGAGGACTGCTCTTATGTGCACTACAGGCTACAGCTCCAGCTAGATTGAGGGTAAACAATTTACCAGCTGTGCTGTCTCCTTGGGAGGCTCCTATGTTGAAAGAGAACATCTCTGAGTCAGTAGAACACACTCTGACTACTAGAGTGGTGTTAGCCATGAGGTATTGTACAAGCCTCAGGTCGTCTCTGGAGCATCCTGCAGCTTCTAGTAGTCTGATTGTTGTACCTCTGCGGATGGTATTGAAGGCAGCTGACATGTCGATACTCACTTTGTTCCATTCAAACTCCTTCTTCATTACTACAGATATGAGCATGCTCTGTGCCCAAACTAGGTCGGCACAGCTCCTGCCAGCTTTGTAGGCAGCTTGGAACGGTCCGGTGAAGTTGTCCACAGCTCTCTCTATTCTGTTTAGCACTATCAGTGACAGGATCTTTCTAGAAACATTCAGCAGGGTCAATTGCAATGGTCGTATCGACTTAACTGGGCCACGAGTTTTACCAGGCTTAGCCAGTGGTGTGAGGATGCCTGCTCCTATTGCTTCAATGTGAATGTTTTTCTCGAAAGACTCGTTGAACACATTAGCCAGCTCTTCATGAAGGAGGGGGTTGTTCAGGGCTTTCATGACCTCGCCAGGAACTTTATCAATACCCACTGCTTTACCAGAATTGAGTTTACTGATGGCTCTCTCTATCTCTGCAACGGTGATGGGACTGTTAAGGCTAGATGGGGGGTCAAGGAAGGCAGGAAGGGTAGGCTCATCAGCGTCGTTGAACTCAGCTTCAAAGTACTCCTTAATAATCCTCGCTTTCTCCTCATCATTACTGAATAATGATGTATGTCGTGATATAATGAAGATTCCTCAACCGTGTGATGTTAATCGTATTACAAGTGAAGTTCTAAAATATATGAACGACGATAAGGACTCGGCTGCACTATAGTGAAAATTATTTTAATGATAGACTTTTATATTCAGGTTAAATGATATAAGTAACTTCAAATTAGAACCTCAAGTTCTTTTATTTACGTTATTACAGTAACACCTGTAAAATTTTTACTTCATTGACACTGTTTTTTAATTTTGTAATATAATATATTGACAAATTGTTTGAGCGATAACTTTTACATTGAAACATCATTAGAATTTTATTCAGTTATTAATTCATTACGATTAGTATCACTAGATTTAATGATATAGATTATCATAGCCCTATTTTCAGTGTTGACACTGTGAATGGAATCTGTTGTTTTTTTTAAATTATTTATGAATCAGCTGTTTATATTTCTATGAATTATAATTTATTATTGTAATGATCAAATGTATCAATTATTTATCGGTTGTACCTATGTTATATGACTGTTTTACTCTTGTCATGGGCATTCCTATATTCCTACATGTAATGACTAATGAACAAAAATACCAACGCATGACCTAAAAGTAAACTAGTCTAGAATATTCACTCCATTGCAATGTCAACCCAAATTTGAATTTATGTTAAAAAAGTTAAACTTTCTAAGCCTGAATTTTGAAATTTAACATTAATTAGTTTAACTTTTTTAACTTTTTTTAACGTGGACCCCCCCCTAAACAGTTGTAACACTGATTATCTTCAGACAAAGATGCATACACATCCTACCCTGACACTTCCAACGACGACACGAGGAGAGATCCTGTGGAGGAACCTCGAAGAGAACCACCAGCTGCAGCTCGTCGTTTTTCACATGAGATCACTCGAAGACACAGCGACGATCTTGTTACAGATGAAGGAGCAAGCAGTACTTTATTTGTCGGAAATTTGAGTGGAAACGTTCGGTATAAAGACCTGATGTCGTTGTTTAAGCGCTATGGCGACATTGAGGCAAGTTACTTCAAATATAGAAAAAACCTAGGTCGACAGCTATGTCCATTTATTTACAGTTATCCTGGCCTGGTTATGAAATCAAATTGATAACAAAACTACTTGCAGTGCATCGATATTAAAGAGTCCGATAAGGGCTATCCCTACGCGTTCATTAGATACTACGATCTTAAATCAGCTTGTGCAGCCAAGAAGTACCTAAATGAGGAGACCCTACATGAAAGATGCATGAAGGTAAGCAGTTGCTCATCCCCGCCAGCTATTCTTCCATCTTGAAATCAATGTCACATCGTTATTGTCACCGGATTTTTATACGATTTAATACGATTTACTCCACCAGATTGGTTACGGTAAGGGATGTCAGACCAACACTGTGATGGCAATGGAAATAGACAGACAATGTCCCGAAAGTAAGGTTGAACACGAGTTTGGTAAGTTTGGAGAGCTGGTCAGGATGACGTACAACCAGACTCTGGGTTCCGCGCTGTGTACCTACACTGACACGGAGTCCGCTCAACTTGCTATCGAGAACATGAGGGGCAGGTGCCTTGGGAGAACTGGTCGGGTCAAGGTGGATTTTGCAAATCACGAGGAGTGCCAGGAGTTTTACAAGAACTACGAACAGTGTAAAGCCAGCCAGCAACTAATGAAGTACCACATGGACATGATCGCTCAAACCACTGAGAGGTGATTTTATTATTTCTGTTATTAGTTTGTTAGCGAGATAGGAGCTAATTTTACTAACCTTCAACCTCTTGCCTAACAACTACTCTCAACTTTATGGAGAACTAATCATCTTGAGTTTTACATTATTTTTACACTCGACGCTGCTTTCAGGGAGAGTCGTACCAACAAGAAGTATGATGACTTTAAAGTTGGTGACCGTAGAGGTAGTTATGACAGAAAGCAACCCGCTTCACCAGAGAGACGTGATTCTCAGTACAGCAGTAGTAAGAGATTCGAGGTTTGTTTTACAAAATGTTCGCTAACTATATAATATTAGGAGTTGTTTTTAGTTACAAATGTACTGAAATTGCTAACTACATTAGGAGTTGTTTTTAGTTACAAATGTATTGAAATTTATTCAACTTCAATTTAAGCTCGAAATAATCCTCAGAGAGTAGAAAGAACAGCGTCCAGGAACGTGAGAGACATCACTCCATCCCCTCCTCCTGTTCTACGCGGCAGAACGGACCGGTCTCCAGGTCCAGTGGACAGGAGACCCCGCAGATCATTTGATAACGACTGGAAGGGTAAAGGCAAGGCTTTGCCACGGAAATACAGCGATGAAGGTCGGATAGACAGAGATCGAGCAACCTCCGCATCTGGTCGAGGAGGTGGACGAGACGAGAAGATAAATCGTGTAGTATCATCTCGTTACAACAGCGAGGAGAGGGAACTTGCACGTCACATCCGTGACTCTAGGAACAGTTCTCGAGAACGACCTTCAGAGCGGGTAGACTTCAATCACTCGAACATGAAGAGACTGTCAAAGAAACCAACACAAAGATCCCCATCACCAGGTGGCTCTCCTACAAGCAAATACTCTAAATACAAGGACTCAGAAAGGAGCAAGGACTTCTACACTCAGAGAAGTTCTGGTGGTCGGTCTGTTAACTCTATGATGGATAATGACTGGGATAAGAAGAATTTTAAGGGAGACAGTAAAAGGGACTCACGTGGAAGCTCACGTGCAGAAGCGCGCAGAGACTCACGCGTGGGATCTCCACGTGATAGAGGGGGCGAGGGGCGTGATAAGAGGAAGAAGGACAGACGGAGTACTTTGAGCGAGGAAGAGGAAGAAATCCTGAACTCGCTCATCGCAATGAGACGAGTAGAGAAGTCCAGGCAGAAGAAGAATCAGAGGCGAACTGATAGAGATGGATCAGGAAGTAGAGAACGGAGCAAACGGGAGAAGAGTGATAAGGACAAGAGGAAGAGGAAAAGGAAGCATTCGAAAGATTCTACTGAAGATTCTTCTGAAGACAGGTCAGTACTTTATCGCTCCTAAATTTCATGACATTAGTATTACTGGCTTTTTTCTTACTTTTTCCTAATTTAGTAAAATTTCTGATACAGTAAGGAAAGTTAACGAACTCGAATATCTTCAGCTCAAGTTCCTCATCTGGAACCAGTGATGGCGAGATAGATGTTGGTAACCATGGCAACGGCGAACCAAAGCAACAGGATCCAGATCAGGTCCCAGTTGCAGATACCGCTCTTGATAGGATCGCTAAAATAATATCAGACAGCACTAACGGACAGGTTAGCTTAATCAGCTTACAGCATCGCTCAATCTAATGTGTAAATAGCTGTCACGTGTCATAACAATGTGGCCCCTTTTGAGTATCCGCAAACTTAAAGTCTCACGTGCATCTCCAGGTACAGCTGAACACGATAAGCGCAGTTCAACCGCTACCATCAGAGAGATATAGTCCGGGAGAGAATGAAGTTTTAGCTCCTCCCCCCGCCATGGTCCAAACAATGATCCCAATACCTCCTGCTGTTGTCCAGCCCCTCCTTCCACCTCCCCCCATTCAGATGACCCAAAGTAAAGAATTGCTGGGTCTCCTCAGAAAGTATCCCATTATGTGGAACGGATCAATTGCTCTCAAGAATGACACGGCTAATGTTCAGGTGAATTTAATCAATAAGAATGTTGAGGTATAGTATTACTATTTAGTATTAGCACATTCATTCTGAACATGTTTCATTTTCAATATTCTCCAAGCCCCTAGTTTCTCTTGTATCAATTATGTAATTACAACCAGCACCTCTCTTCATTCCTGTTACATTTCAGCTACACTTCTTGTCGGGTAGTGCAGGTATTGCTGAAGGAGCTATAAACGCGCTTCCCAACCTCGGGCCTGGTCCAATGAGAATCGCACAGAGAATGAGACTCGAACCTAACCAGATTGAAGGTGTTCAGAAACGCATGCAGGTTGGTTGGTTATTGTATTGAAATGGGTGATTTACATTATCTTTGTACAATGTATGGGTGAAGATTATCGGCATATATGTATAGTCAGTGCAGTAGTCAGTAGTCAGAAGACATATTAATAGCGAAAATAGTAAACAATTTTACGTGTTTTTTATTGTCCACATTTATCCTAGAAATCCCAAAATGGAGATTATCCCGGCCCAAATCATTAAATTCATTTTCTTGATTATTTGAGTTATATTTGTGTTTATAATGTGAAAATACTTTCAGCACGAAGGGCAGTGGTGCATGATGTTAGCACTCCCCCACGGTACCGACCCTATAAGTGTCAGCAATCAGACTACAACTCTCCAACATGGCTTTATAGCTTACCTGGAGAGCAAGCAAGCAGCTGGTATCATCAACCTTCCCGTACCAGGTTAGTGAAACGTAGTGGACTGGCGCTAGAACAATATGTTGTGAAAACCAAGAAATAGGGGAAATGGTTTCTTTCTTTCTTAAAATGTTGATTCTTTTATTGTGCTTTGCTTTCTAGTGTCAAACAACGCTGAAGAAAGCAACAAATATTTTGTATATTTACTCAATACTTTAATGTTACTCACTCGCACCCATCCTTATCCCAGATCAATCCTCGCCCTACGTGCTGCACATTTTCCCGCCATGTGATTTCACACAGACCCATATGAAGCAGTTTTGTCCAGAACTGATCGAGGGAGCTGGAGATTGTGGGTATCTCCTCATCGTCATCGCAACTGTTTAGATATTATTAAAAAAAGCGGTCTACGGTTTTAATATCATGGTGCGATTCGAATGATTACTTTAACCGGATTGAGATCGATTATTTTTTGTTTTAGCGAGTTTTTAATCATCGTTTTTACTCTCAATCTTGTTGTTTCGATTATAAGCCTGTTTATTTTAATACGATATGCAGAGGTAATTTATTTGCTCGTGTTTTCAAGTTTTTGGTTATACTTGGCAATTGCGAATGCTGCACGAGCACAGCACATTTTACTGTTTTCATTAATCTTATTAAAAGTATGTATTATAGTATATAAGTACGTCACTTTACCTTGGTGTGGCCATATATTTCGACGATTGCGCGGCATAGGGAGAGGGGAGAGGGAGCATGGAAATGCGCGTCTTATCACACAGCTTTGTAGTCTGAGACTGCCAGGAAGCAGCGCGCTTGCTGGAATATTGAGTGACCACACCAAGGTTACTCGTTAAAATAAAATAGCTAATAGTAAAGTTACTTTGGTGCTAAGTGCACGATATGTTCGGACCATTCACCCGTACTTATCTTTCATGTTTGTTACGCATAACTTTGGATAAAAATCGCTTGTTGATAGAAAAAAGAAGGTAGATAAACTTTATTTAGTAGATTTATCCAGTTAATTTAAAGCATAATTTGATAAATTAGGAGTATTGAGTGGGCTATTTTAAAATACACACTAATTATGTTACTTTCACCTTTTTGTTTGTTAATGTGATTATGTTCTGTTTTGATTGCATTTTGGAGTATTAGGAAATTATTTGATCTTAATGCAAGTTCAAAAACAGAATTTCGTGTCTTTACTTGTATGTAACTGTTGTAAGCATGAAGCAATTTGATAGAAATCAATGACAACAATATTGTGCATCTTCGCACCTTGTAGCGCGATGCGTTACTGTGCCGCGCCGCGCACTCAATGAGGCTTCTCACAGCGAGATGCGCTACTGTGCCGAGCTGAGATGAATTTACTGGGCCGCGCTCAGCCTGTCATTCCGCCTAATTTAATGAACATAATAGCCTGGGGTTCTCAGGTAAAGATGAATTGACATCGTCAATTAACTTCGCACCTAACCGTCCCGGCTACACCTCTATATTAAATACAGCAGAAATGCAATTTTAAGATCCCAGCGCAGGTTTCTCTAACCAGAGCCCTTTCGCTTGCAGCGCGCTTGTGAAACGATCGACGATGCAAGAATGCTATAGTTTGAATGCTATTTTGCGCGCGTCGAAGCGGCGAAGTCCTCCAATCTGCAATGGCAAGTGCTACGAAGTAGCGCGCACCGGGCCATACTCAATACTGCCGTTTTCTCAGAAAAGGCAGTAAGTCCATATTTGCCATTTCGAGATAATGCGACTTATGCGTTTATGGTTTTTTCTTCGCTTATTTTTTGCGTAAGATCGAAAGTAAACACGCTGAGTTATCAATAATTAGTCAAATTATAATTTGTCAAAAAAATTAAAGCTTTGAGCCGTCCATAAGCTTAGATATTGTAGCGCGATGCACTACTGGGTCGCGCGCGCGCATCCAATAATGCTTCTCGCAACCACAGACCATTGCCGTATGCAGATCGGCGAGATGCGAAGGATTGACATCGTGAATCAAGCTTAGATATAACCATTTTTATGCCAAATAATCGAGCTAATTTTTCATACTGGATGGACTTACTGCCTTTTCTGAAAAAACTTGGACTTACTTCCTTTTCTGAGAAAAATCTCTGTTCAATATTTTTCTGAGAAGGAAGTAAGTCCAAGCTTTTTACCAAATTTTTGAGGTTGGGATCTATTTATTTTGGATTATATTGTAAAATATAAACAATTAGGTAAATCTAAATTGCTCCATATCATATGGTAAATGTTTTTGAATAATAGTATGCCCTTATTTAGGCAAACTCGCCAATTTTGAAAGATTTAAGTGCATTAAATGATATCTTATCGATATTTTGATGAAGATAAACTTGATCTAAAAGATATACCTAAACTAAACATTCTCTGCGATTATAACAGCTCAATGACTGCTCGTATGTTTATGTTTTGCGACTAAAATACATCCAGCGTTTTTGAAAATCGGCCACCAAATTTTTATTTGAGGCCTAAATGAAAATTTTGATCACTTACGTAAGGTTGAAATGTAATTATACATCGATTCTGAAAATTTCAAGCGAAAATATCAATCGGCAGTAAAGTTATGTTCTTTTTGGGAAATCGCTTTCTAAAATTCTGTTTTTAGCATGGTTTTATAGGAAGTAAGTCCAGCTACTTCTTCCTATCACAGATAATTTATCTCAGAAAAGGCAGTAAGTCCACGGAAATACTTCCTTATCTCAGAAAATTTTCAAGATTTTCTCAGAAAAGGCAGTAAGTCCGGACTTACATCCTTCTCTCAGAAAATAATTGGCCAAAACCGAACATAATGTTTCTCAACTTGGACTTACTTCCTTAGGAATTGCATGCAACAACGTTTCTATACATTAATATGTAGCTCATGTTGTAGAGAATTTTCTACTGAAAATTTTGATACCAATATAAAAAAGCCAACTTAGTACTTAAACATGTCTCGATTTACATGAAATGTAATCTACTTCATATCAACATGTCCAAATGCTGCTACATACATTTTAAACCTGCCTCTGAATATGATGACACCTGTGCGCGGACTAGACCATTTGCTAACCTGCTAGATGAATCTAGATCAATATTCATCGATGGTAAGGTTATCACTCAAGTCAAGGATACCAAATTCCTAGGTGTTGTTATAGATAGTAAGCTAAACTGGATTGCCCACATGCACTACATCCGTAAAAAGCTGCGGACCATGACTGGTGCAATCTGTAGAATCCGGCACTCTATACCTGCTGAACTATACTTGAAAATATATAATGCTCTTTTTGAATCACATCTCAGTTATGGTATAAGTGTTTGGGGTGTTGTCATCAAGGAACGGTCCAATGACAGTCTTTTTATCACTCAGAAGCACTGTATAAGGATCCTTTTTGGTGATCTCGACTCATATCTAGATAAACAATCAACATGTGCAAGAACTAGACCATATGGTATGCAAAGATTAGGCCATAAACATTTTGAAAAGGAGCATACAAAACCCATTTTTAATAGACTTAAAATTCTTACAGTTCAAAACTTGTTCAAGTACCATTGCATTTCAGAATTCTCTAAGATTATCAAGTATCACTGCCCATACTCCCTTTATGAGGCCATCAACATTTCAAACCGTACAACGAGTTTAACGGTTATTCTTCTTAATAAATCAAATACTTTTTTGTTCACTGCAGCCAAGCTTTGGAACACTGTTCATAAAAAAATTCTAACCTCAAGCAATTGCCTAGAAACTTCCATTAACTTGATAAAATTGAGAACCAAGGCACTATTATTACAAGTACAGGCTGCTGATTTAAAAGATACTTGGAATCCAAACAATTTTAAATTGCAGTAATCTATTCTTATCGCAGCAGCACACACTTAACACACTTAATATTACTATCATGATTGTATTATAGACTGAAAAGCTCTCAGATCAATTTTGGGCGTTTTTAACCACTTGTTGTAATGTTTTTAATTATTTAATATCTTAACTTAACTAAATTTTTATTCAGATCGAATTAACAAATAATATTTGATAATTTATTTACTTGATAGTTTAGTCTGATATTGATATTGACTATATTGATATTGTTATTATTGAATGAAGTTAACTCCAGACGTACATAATATTACTTCTTTTAACAAAGGGACTTGGAGTATAAACGACCAAGTTAGCATACATTTTCAACCGACCAAGAATTCTGGAGGCAAAGGTGGGTGCGTAAACTTTATGGTCTGTACTCTCCGATCCTGTATCACCCAGGATTCTTTTCGACGTTTTTGGTAAAAGGTATATACCTTCTAGTCAATCTCTTGCTACTCCAAGTCCCCCAAGATTTCTAAACTAAAGTTCGTCCTAGTTATATTATGTTATATAAAATATATTTTTTGTTTGCTGTAACTGATACTAAATAAAATTGTTGTTTTCCTGAAATTGTTGTTTTCCTGAATATTGCCATATTTCGAAAAATTGGACTTACCGCCTTTTCTGAGAAAACGGCAGCATACTGGGCCGCGCTCAGCCTGTCATTCCGCCGAATCTCTACTCTATGTTTATTTACATGATTACTGATTACTGGGCCGCGCTCAGCCTGTCATTCCGCCTAATCTCTATTATGTTAATGAACATAATAGCCTGGGGTCCCCAAGTAATACTAGTAATAATAACAATAATTTAAACTTATAGATTATAGTGGCACAACAACTTAAAATGCAAAGGTGTGCCACGAAAACAAGTCAGGATACAAGAAAACCTGAAAAGCTTTCCACATTTAGGTTCCAAATCATAGAAAATTGAAAAGACTTGATACACTAAATTACAAGGTTAAGGGTATGCACTTAACAGTAGAAACGTTGAAAAAAATAGTAAATTAATTAATATCAAAAGCACGTTTAAAAAGAAACGTTTTCAGATACACTTTAAAAGATTCCAGTGACATGCAATTCTTAATTTCAAGAGGCAGCTCATTCCATAATTTAGGGCCAACTTTCTGAAACGATCTTTCTCCATACTGTGAATATACTCTTGGTTCAGTCAAATAGATAAGATGATTATAATTACTAATAGGCAGCCAATGAAGGTCTTTCAGAGTGTCTCCTAGATGATCATATTTATATAGTCCTGATTGGGAATCGAGCGGTTTACTCGATTAATGTTTACTCAAAATTATAATACAAACAGTAATAGATAGAAAATAGTAACGTTAAAGAATTCTTTTAAAAAAACCCTCTGGAAAGGGCACTGCACACGGTTTATCAAAAAGTACACTGTGATCATGAAGTACTATGAACTACAGATTTAAAAACACAACGCTTCACGCTACACATGATATTACACATCCATAATATCGATCCTATAGGTTAAGAAGTTTAGACTCGTACTAAACAGCTTGGACTATTGTTTTTAAAATTTTGTGCAAAATTTTACCATCAGTGATTAATGATTTTGGCCGGTAACTCAGCGCTTACAGTAATTGTGAGTGCGCGATTGAGATTAATGTATGGAAAAAGAGTTTAGCGGCAGTGAAATGCTTGCTTATCTACGCTAAGTGGGGGTAGTTATGCGAGCGGTTATTATATTGGTAGTCAGTAATTGCAAGTTGTTATTTAAATTTGTGTCATTTAGTGTAGTTTCTATGTGCTGGGTTGTGTGATTTTCATACTGCTCCCTGTTGCATGCCATTAATTAGACAATAGACTTAATTTAAACTTAGATTATATTCGTTTCAGTTGAAATTCGATTCAGGTTAAATGTTAAAAGTTTAAATTTCACGTCTAGACTGTCTTAGGCCAGGAACATTGTGCAGTAGGAATGGTTGCCACTCGTTAACATCACCATCACTTTGAAGATTAAGTAGCATTTTCTTAGCACTAGTCTTGAACAGATTTATCGAAAATAATGTCGGAAGTGTAGTAACGTCTGCTTTGTCTGCGAAGACAGAGAGCAGTGGTCCCTTGGCCTCCCTACTATAGCTTTAGCAGCTGCATTCTGAACGAGTTGGAGTTGGTGGATGAGGTTGTCACTAATTCCATAATAAAGAGCATTGCAGTAGTCCAATTTGCAAACAATGATGAGCTGTTAATTATAAGCTTGAGCTGAGCTTTACTAAAGAGATATTTTCTCCTTATTACATTCCTTAGGAGTCTGAAACAATGCTTTTTGAGGGACATGATTTGAGGCTCAAAAGTAAGATGATGGTCAATTTGAACACCAAGGTTCTTTGTTGTGCTGACAAATCTGATACAGCTCAGGTATCATTTGATAGCTTAACTCCCCCTATACTGACCTGGTTTAGAACTTGAGGTGAGGCGATGATAAGTATTTGTGTTTTTCCAGGATTAAGTTGAAGGCAATATTCAACCATCCAGCGCTGTATGGTCCTAGCGCAATTCACAATTTGGATGCCCAGAACATTTACCTGATCACAAGGTTTGAAAGTTTTATATACCTGGTGGTCATCTGCATATCCTTGCACATTGAATCCAGATTTCTCGATGGTCCTATACAGAGTAATAAAAGATATTCATTCATTTTTTTCAGATTTTCATGCAAATATTAACAATTTAACATGCTGTTACTGGTTTTTTCTTTTTAATATAATTTACTGCCTCTATATTTAAAATAATCCAGAAGTTTTTTGTGTTTACTGAAATATTACTTCTCTTAAATTCTTTAAATAAATACAAAATAACAAACAATAAATTTTTTAAATGTAATGACAAATTCTTCCAAAACAAAGAAGATAATTACACATTGACAGCTTATTTTTGACAGCATTCGAATATTTCCATCAATATTGCAAAATATAGGGCTAACAACTTTATCTCCCGATTTACTATAATTGAAATATCTTTTCCATTCACAATTTTATAGGCTACAACTCGGCCTCATATCACGCTGTTGTATAGGCCAGCTGTGCTTACCTGGGAACCCCAGGCTATTATGTTCATTAACATATAGAGATTAGGCGGAATGACAGGCTGAGCGCGGCCCAGTAAAGCTGTGCACGAGTGCGTGGCTGTATCGTGGCTTTTGTCCCGATAAGATACATTAAATGAAATGAGGGTCATGACGTGAGACAACTCTAACCCACCTCTATGCAACTGTTGTAATCTGTAAGGCCTCAATCTTTCCCTGTTTTCCAATACCATCGATAAGGTGGGTGAACCTTCACTGGATAATTTCTAGTATCTCTAATCCCATGACATGTTATAGTATAGATGGAGAACACAACTGAGCACAATACTCATATAAAAAATTATTTGACAAGGTTTTAATATTTCTATGATCAATACCGTTAGATTTAGTGCTAACGATTTTATGAATTGCTTTAATTTTATCTCCTGATCTACTTAAATTGAAAATATCTTTTCCATACTCAACCAATCCATTCACAATTTTGTAGGCTTCAATTACATCTCCATGTGGGACTACTGGTAAAACATTACAGAGGCCAGGTAAAATGATCCACCAGCAAATATCTGAAACTTACTTCCCAATAAAAAGTCTTCAGAATATCTGTGTTACCATTTACACCCAAATTTGTAAGAATTCATTGATGTGGAACACTATCAAATGCTTTACAAAAATCTAGGTAAAACACATCTACATCAAAATACATTTAATTACACCTTGATAGTGAATAAATTTAGGCATGCTCCCCTTTAGGCAGGCTCCCCTATTCAATTCCGAGCTCGTAAGGCAGGCTATTTTACATGGAGATGTTATATTTGCAGTCTTCAACTGTACTGGAATCTTTTCACTTGAAGCACATGTTTGTAATAATTTAGTTACAGCCGAAGTAAAGATCACAGCGAATTAGCAATGATTCTATCATTGTTTAAATTCGACAATTTCACCAGCCATCATTGTTTATATCACTATTAAAAATACAGATTTGCTTTGTACTATTGACTGAACCCTCTGGTAGATGCTTGATGTCACGTGAATTTGAAAAAGAATTGTTGGTATCAGAATTAGACATGACCTTCAACTCTACTTCACGGTGGGATGGTAAGAAAATTATTTTAATACTGTATAATGTATTATATACTGAGTTCTTGTTTAAATTCTGTATTTCATAAAAAATTAATAACCCAATTTTTGGTTATTACTTTTGCTATTTATTTCAGATTTGCGAAAACATGCACGGTCTTATGAGAATGAGTTGGATACAAAGCTTGTAGCTTTCTCAAAGCTTGGCAACTCTTTTGCACAAGACATGGAGAGGTTAGTAATGATAGTTCAAATTTTATTGATTATTAACCATAAATTGCCTTGGTTCATATCTGACCATCTACATTTTACTTATCAAAAAGTGTCCAATAATTACTTTTCAAGATAGTTATTAGTTTCCCTAATTTAGTATAGTATATCAGTTTACTGTAGTGCTGCCTTTACAGGGACGCTGCACCACTTCTAACAGGAGACAACATCTTCGACACCATGTCTGTTGAAATTGAAAGTATATTGGCTAGCGTAAGTTAGATACAGTGAATGGCACTTTATTGTGCTCTTGATAAAGCTATTAATTAGCATTTTATTTAGAAAACATGTTTAGAAAAATCCAAATATCTTTTTCAGTAATATGGGGTTTAGCACCTACTGTGACATTTTACACTTAATTTGCTATTTTTTATTAAGGAATCAGGGGTTAATTAGCTACAAAGTAGTCTTTTTTAAGACCATACTCTTAGTGGATCACATTTCAGCTGACATCAGCGAACGATGAGATGGCAGATTTGTTGGGAAGTGTGAACACAACTGCTTCAATGAGACACATCTGTCAGAGACACAGAGACATACTCCAGGATTACACACAAGAATACTGTAAAACCAAGGCAAGCTATAATTTATTTGGATGAAGTAAACTTCTTTTACCCCTTAAACATTTTATCACATTCTATAACCCAATGAATGAAATACCATGGTGTTTTCAAGTGCAGTTGTTAATGAAGACTTTATAAATATGCTCAAAAGCGATCGTTCTCTGATTGTGCACTGCACAGTGTAATGAACTAGCAAGAATTTATTAGTCAAATCATTTGTCTGTTAAATCGTCTTTGAGTTAGCTGTGAACTAATCATTTGGAGTAATCTTTGAGAACACCTGCTCTTCATTGATCTGGGATTATTCTTTACATCAATGAAATGGAATAACTGGCCAAATGATTTCCAATGGTTCTACACGCTTTCTTAACATAGAAAGTGGAGGCAATGGAAGGGTATGTGTTTCTAAATAAAGGAGGGCTTGATTTATGACAATTTTTCTTGGCCCGGCTGATTTGTTGTCGTTACCATGTTAGGAATATAATACTTAGCTTCATAGGAGAAAAACGAGATAAATTCATTATTAATGATAAATAACAACGTTTTCAGTCAAACATACAAGCATTCAAGGACAGAGAAGAATTACTGGGATCCGTCCATCAAGTGAAGTAAGTTATTATTTTGTTATTACATTCAGAACATAACAATTACTATTTCACTGTAAAGTACTTCTAAACTACGACGGTTATAAAAATGCAAGAAAAGTGAAAAAATATCCGTGATATAATTTTACAACGTTTGAGAGCAGGTTTTAAGTTTTTTGCTGTTTAATTTTGGTAGAAAAGTTACTCGAAATACTCGATCTCTGTCCCTTTTCTACTATTCCACAAAATTTTTCTTTCTCTCTCCTTCAGTTTGCCTTACTCTTTTCTGTCCCTTTCTGTTGCAGTCTACCGGTCAGTTACCCCTTTCTCTCACCCTCCCTCTTGATCGCATAAAAACTTCTCTGAGATAGATCTGTCCCAACAGCTCATATTCTTGCCGTATTTGAAGTCCCACACTGATATCTAATTTACAACAACAAATTTCCAATTAATTAAAAAACTAATCAATCTAAAAGAATTTTCCTCCATCTAACCGTCCCATGCCCTACATAGGTAGGTTAGGAAGAGGAAAATATTGAGAACCTATTTAATGATTATTATGTACCTGAGCCGTATAAAAGGGGATTACAGCTCTGAGTCTCGGAGGATGATCCAGAACAGTCTTCTCCTCCGTCAGCTGGAGGAGGAGCTGTACAGGTTCGGGTTCTTGTCTGTATTCCTGCTAAGCAGGGTAACCAGGAGGAGTAGGAACTCCAACCACCGTTAACTGGGTCTGGAGAGGGGGTTTAGAGCGGGTTACTTAATACGTACATTGATTAAAATCACCATATAAGAAGCTTCTTGATAATTAACAAATCTCCTATGAGGGGGGGGGGGGGGGGGGCCGGGGGGGAAATATTTTTTATCTATGACACACCCCACAACACTTACCATCATCCTTGATTACACATCGTCACTAATTGGTGACGTGATCTGACCCCTCTTTGGGGGCCGGATCAGGTTCCGGTCCCAAAGTCTCCCAGTGGGGGGGGGAGGAGTAATATTGGTCCCGTCCCATTGATTCCACATAAATATATTTACTCACTGCAAGGAGGGACATCACATAGAGCAAATCTCACACCTGGGTCCATTGTATAACACCAAACGGACGGTGTATCCGCTTCCGGATTCCGACAATAGTTGTGATCTCCTATTCCTTTATCGAGCCCCAGGCCCGAGCTGAAATCATGATTTGGAAGTACTTACAAAATACTACAGCGACTTGAATAAAAGAGGTCAACCAATTTTCGTTTATTTTGTTCATATTAGTAGCTGCTAGTGAAAGTTATGTCCCAATTACCTTACAAAATCTCTAATAGATTTATTTGGTCGGTGAGGTTGTTCGGAAGTCCATATCTGACAAGTGTGGCCTTCTCGTGTCGTGGATTTTGTACCTCGATAATCAACTCCTTTGTTTGCTACGTCTTCAGCATTTAAACATTTCAGCACTGAAACATGCAATTCTCACAATTTATCGTTTAATTTTAATAAAAATTCGAACTGTAGAAAATATCTAACTGCAAACCGATATTTGAAAAGTACATGTATCTGTCTCGGAGGTAATGGATTTCTGTATAGGAAACGTTTGTCAGTCGCCATGTAACTTGCGGTAGAAAAGGGGCCAAGCTTGAAAGTGTAATCTTTTTACCAACCTTGTTGCAGAGAATTAGTGATCATCACAGCGAGGAGGATCAAGAAGTTGGAAGTACCCATTTTCCTCTTGAAAACGATCTCAATACTTGGCTTCTGCAATGTTAATTGTTAACTTCCCATACTATAGATGTGGATACTGGTGGGGAGGTGAAACACATTTGTTTACTTTAATAGTAAGCACATGTTCAGCGGGTTGAGGAGGTGAAACACATTTGTTTACATTTTTAGTCCGATTTGTTAAGGAGACGATCTCCCTAGCTGTTCATATGTTGCAGGATCAGAATGTTCGTGAGGAACAGTCACCAAAAGTGAGTTGCTTACCTGCTGTGTGTTTTCGTACTCTGGTCTTCACTCAAGTTGCAAAGCTGCAATAAACGTATCGCAAAGAACATTTATATCTGAAAATTGTGTAAGTACCAGTTTGATCAGTTTAGGTGAGGATTGCCTCGATCTGTCGGGTTCAGCTTAACTGCCTAGGTCATGAGTAGAACCGAAGGATCAAAACATATGTTGCTTGTTGCTCGTATCAACTATAAAACATCAATTTTGAGGGATAAGGAAGTGTTTATAGGTTCTGAAACCTAGCTAAATCGATTTTTCGTGCAATTTTAGGTCAGAAACAGTCATCAAAATGAGTTAATAAGAAGGTCGATTTCTCGGTTATTTTTGAGCTTTCGTTCAGAAAATAATTCGGAGCCTTCAAAGGGGGGTAACAAGAAAGCGTTACAAGTGTTACAAGCCTTCTATAATACAAAATGTGTATCATCTCTTCAACCCGCTGAACATGTGCTTACCCTAAAAATGTAAACAAATGTGTTTCACCTCCTCAACCCGCTGAACATGTGCTTACTATTAAAGTAAACAAATGTGTTTCACCTCCCCACCAGTATCCACATCTATACTTTATAGAGTTATAGATCGTAATTAATTTACATCAAACGAAACATTGAGTGGTTTAACTGAATTGAGCTGATGGGAAATGGTGGGCTGGCTCTACACTGCTCGTTTGTCACGTGACTTTTACCTTTTACCAATCACAGCAGCGTATTTCTGAATATCCAAAAAGTGGTATAATTAGCCTTGCACACCCCCCTCGAAATTGATCTTAAATATTCATCAGCAATTTAAAGCTGACAATGGCTCGTACTTTAAGACGGCTCCCCTTTGCTTGACTTATTAGCATTAACATTAACTAGATGTTCATTTTATGGCTCTATATGATTTTTGAGAGAGCTTAACTCACTCTGACGGCAGACCAGTGTAATAGTGTTGAATATCCCCAGGCGCTGGGGCCCAGGAACCTTTTGTTACAATCTCATGACTTCTAAGTAGTACAAAGTAGTCGTATATTATGTAAATTTTAGTCAAAATTCAATCTCATACCCTCCAGCGACCAGCCCTGTAAGCAGTGCCAAGTAGTCGTATATATGTGACTAATGGGGTTACTTAGAAGGCACGAGATTATATTATATAAATTGTAGTCAAAATTTAATCTTTGGTTATATACATTAAAGATACCTGGTATCCAGGAATCTGGTTTCTACGTAGGCTGTAGGGTGTTAAACATTAAACCAGGGACAAGATCATTTTCATCTGAAATTTCCATCCTCATTTGGCGTTCAAACTTCATCAAATGCACACAAACTGGTGCTTTTAGTTAATTTATTAAATCTCCACATTTTCAGTTCGTTTAAGAACGGCTTAAATAACAGAAAACAAGATTTCTTTTTAAAAGAAAACGAAAACGGGTGACCAACAACTGAACCCAATTGAATCTAGTTCCCACGCAGTTAATAGGATCCCAATCAGCTTAATTGGGTGACCAATTAGCTTAAATCTCAAAACGACAACTGAATCCAGGTCATATCACTGCACCGAAATCGGAAATACGACAACTAAACCCAACGATCGGATTTCTAGGTTCTCCTTCTTCGCAGGGACTGTGGTCATTATCACTATATAGGATAGATCATGACCACTGTAATTTAGAGCATTGGAGCCCTGTGCTTACCCCGGTAAAATATTAATATGTGGAGAAAAACGTTAAACTTCGTTTTCTCCGCATTTGGTGAATCGTTGTTGCTTGTATGAAGGCGATAATCCTTGGTAGTTAGAACTTATCCACTATTTCTGTCACACTAAGGGGTCGTTCACATGGAGGGGGGAGGTAAAAATGTTTCAAAAAATGATTACGTAATATGTGAACGACCCCTAAGGTAGAAGAAGTCAAAGCATCCTCGTTGGTAAGACCACTTCGGGCACTAGCCAATAAAGGGGTTCAGGTTACCTTGCTCAGATTACTTGGCTCAGATCTCGTGTATTCTAATGCTTTGGGAGGGCCTGCCATGGTTCAGATCTCGAGTCTTGGGTCGGAGATACGATGTTTGGCGTGAAAATTTGCTGGATTTTGTTTTAAAATTTTTAATAAAATGGTTCCTGCCGCCAGCCGCAAGCTCTAAAATAACAACAACTGTTGAGTCACCAAGACCACAAGGGCATACTATGACCATTGCTTCTCTAATACTGCATACAGATCACTTTTCAACAGGCTATTCGCTGCTACAATACCATTAGTTGAGGTAAGCCCACTCACTTAAAAAGGGTTAGATCCCCAGTTGACTTGGCCATGTTATGAGGCTGGGTGAATGGGGCGAATATGTTGCAGGTCTTTGCCTGGGGTCAATATTACCATGCTGTCAAAATATCATTAGTGAACTAGTAGCTCACTATTTAAAAAGACAAGTAAACCCTGTTATTGCAGCTGTCTCAATAGACGGAGAAGACGTATATATGTTTGTTGAATATTATAACTAAAACCAGGCAGCAGCTAAACTAGAGCGGTATTTGAAACCTGTTTATCTGTTTGTTAGTTCCATCCTCATTTGGCGTTCAAACTTCATCCAATGCACACAAACTGGTACTTTTAGTTAATTTATTAAATCTCCATATTTTCAGCTCGTTTAAGAACGGCTTGAATAACAGAAAACAAGATTTCTTTTTAAAAGAAAACGAAAACATCATGGGGTAAGCTGCAGTTCTGTATTCTTATTTAAATTATTATAATGGATAATGGATATGGTTAACCTTTTCATCACTAACATGATTGTTAAACATTATGATTGTTATTATGATTGTTATTATTTTTTTATAATATATAATTATGTTATTTTGTTGTTATGTCATGTAAGTTTGTTGAGTAATAGCAAGAAGGTATCGTATATATATAAATTTGTTCTCTTGATTATTTATTAATGATTTTATGTAGGGTCGGCACCAATGTAATTATGGTTTTACCACCGTGTTTTGGTTCAGCCGAAATAAATTTTACTTTGATGTTTACATAATGTTTCTCACTCCAGCTGTAGTCTGGTAGTGTTGAGTCTCATGAATATTTTTCTAGCTCTCTTTTTCCATGTTTTTGCCTCACAGGAGATATTGTGGTCTTTTCTATTGAATATAACTGTAATAAATTGATGTAAAGTTTATTTGAATTTTGAAATAAAAAATGAAATAGCAGGTAAGCAGGTGCTTCTTGATCGATGGTGAAACGATCATTTATCGAGTAAACTAACTGATATAATAATCTAATATTACTAAATATGATAATATGTTAATTTAATCGTATCTAACGTGACTACACCCCAGAGCTGACGGAGTAACTAACGACGCAATCAGCATAGCCATCGCTACAAAAGAGAATCTGTATTCTCAACGAGGAGGTCTGTCAGGGATCACTAATAAAATGAACGCTATCTCAAACAAGTTCCCTATGATCGGGAGCCTAATGAACAAGATTAATGTCCGCTCTAGAAGAGACTCTATTATCATGGCTGCTGTGATTACTGGGTGTCTCATTGCGTTATTCTTGTTTGCTTGAGTGTTTGTTGAAAAGTGGCATTGCCATGGGAATCTCAGGGACAAGAAATGAAATTCAAAGAGTTTTGATGGATAGAAAATAACTGATGAACCAATTTTGATGGATTGAAGACTTAAGAGTTAAGAGGATGAATCAAATTAGCAGTTAGCACGCTCAATTTTTGTGTCATGACCTCAGGGCTTTCATTTTTATGTAATTAAGAATGGTAATAATAATTGCTTATTTGTTAATTAGGTAGTACTAATTTGCTAGTTATTTAAAAGTCTGAATGGAATCAGTTCCGTGATATTTTGTTCTTAATTGAAAAGTTTAATCTTCAATATTCTAATTTTGCAACTTTATGTATAATGAAACCAGTTTCATTCGACTTGACTCCAAAGATTCGACACCTCAAAATGATACTAAATTTGCTTAAAAACTGATACATTAAAAATATATGTCCACGTCATGTTTTCAACATCATCATACATATGTAAATTTCTCAATAATCGTTATAACTCATCACTAGTTTTTTTTAGAGGTGGTTATTCTGTGATGTACAACAAGCCTATAACTCTTTCAGTATCCAGCAACTGTAATCTTAAAGGTTAGTGGCCCTAAATTGTTTTTCTTGTTGTCGGGATGAAGTACGTGACTATTGTGAACGAATATTTGCTGAACTCATTACAATGATGCCCTTGTTAAAGATTGAAGTTACAATGATAACTAATAACAACAACTAATAATGTTTATGACGTGGGAATCGTGCGACAATTGCCACATTTATGCACTCACAGCGTGGAGCGCTCTGACAAGAACTTAGGGTTCTTCTAAGCAGTTTGCCAGTGATGTCAGACGCGCGCACGACCTTATATACCTGCGCATAGGTAGAAATTATAAAAAACACGTTATTCATGTCCTGATTTATCAGATTTCGTGAATACGGCCTATACGGGAGTCCTGAGTAAGGTTAATAGCTATTGTTAACATTATTCAGCATGATTTGATTCTCTTCTGAGCCCTGATGTCTATTATCAGATTATAGATTATCCCAAATTAACTTTATTTGTGATAATTGGTCATGATAAGACAGATAAAGTACTGATAGGTGATAATATGATACAATCTCCTTATTTGGAATAACTTACCAATAACCCTATCTCAGATAGTGGTCTGTGTATTGAACCTTTAAGTGCTCGTCGAGATACAGTGATTAAATTCTGTAAGACAATAATAATTAAGCTAATTTCAAAATTCACAACTATAACAAATACCTCTTATTAACACCTTTAAATTCAGTGAGACAATAATAATTAAGCTATTACCTCTTATTAACACCTCTCCTCTCATCCTGATAGTGATCGACTAATAAGATTTAGAAAAGGTAACTCAACAAATAAAAATTCATTTAAGTAACCGTGTACTAATTTCAGCAGAGATTCTAGCAAGCTCTAGAAAAATTCTCATTTGTCGACACCTCAGATAGGCGCGCAATGGTGAGTGATTTTTTGGAAATCTTAACTTTACAGTTAATCCTAAACTTTATGGAATGAAAGGAGACTGTTGTTCTGAAACGTAGAACTACATAGTACATTCCGACTAAGGATTAGAAATTTATCTACAGCGTCTTCGTCTAAGAGTGAGAAGGCCTACCAGAGGAATTTAATTCTCCCTTTGAATCAATCAAGCTAGCTGATTTGTTGTAAATACTGAGATCAAACTATCAATTTACAGGCTATCGTCAAACATGTTGCAAGGCGTCATCTTCAGTGACATAAGCCTAAAAATTGTAAAAAGTTAGTAAAACTAAATTCCTTTAAAAATCTAAGGGAAGGCCAAAAGGATTTATAGTGTTTATTCCCAAAGGTTTTAAAGTCTTGAGTTGTTGAATATATTTATGTTCACGAACTTCTAAAGTTTTAGGACTAGAATTATCAGTAATTGACACATTAAAAATTTTGTTAAAATCTTCCCTTTGTCTAAAACCATGATCCAACAAATGTAAGCCCAAACTATATTCATCACTTGTTTCATCTACCTTATCACCATTTAAAAGTTTATAATATTTGACCCTATGTTCTCCAGTCCTAACCCGTAGAGAGCGAGTAGTGCGACCGACGTAAGCCTTTCCACAGAAACTACATTGGAACAGATAAATGATGTTGTAACTCAGGCAGTTTCCAGGGGAAGCTTTAACCTTCTTGCCGTTCACTTTGAATTCATGTCTGCCTTTGACAAGCTTGCAGCATTTGCATCTTGGCATATGGCATTTGCTGGTTGGACCATGTTTAGCTCCTAAAGCAAGTTCTTTCAATTTGACGAGGCGAGATTTTAGGCTCGGCCCTGTCTTCTTGGTGTAACTGAATATTTTCTTCCTAGGCGTGGAAGCTGTTGAGGAGGTCTCTTGGGATGTTTCAACAGTGTCACTTTCACTGAAACCCCTTGTTCTTGAGAGGTGTTCTTCATACCCTTCTGGTCATCAGGAGTCTGAACTTTGCGTAAAAGTGATCTTGTTGAATTGAGAACCTTATTACTATAAATGTTATCAACCATTTTCCTAGGGTAACACGCAGCAAGGAAAGATTTTTTGAGGTGTTCTTTGAGGCGTTCTTGGCAGTTGATGATCCTTCTGAGTCTAAGGCATTGAGAGTACACGATACCGGAATAGATATGGTTTGGGTGGGAGCTTTTGAAGTGTAGGTACATAGCAATGTAATTTGCTGTCCTTATCGTCTCTGCCTTCTCTTCTTCATTCTCGAAAAAGTGGGGTCCGAAGACACCATGGTAACTGAGGCCCATCCAAACAGTCACCTTTTCTCTGGTTTTTGGACCTTCCACGGTGGCATAGGGTTGCTTATCTGACCAGATTCGGGCATTCTGAGTATTAACCCACCCTGATAGTTGGAAGTGAGCTTCATCGGAGACAATAAGGTTCTTCAAAAAGTTTTGATCAGACTCAATTTTGCTAGCAAATTGCTTGGCAAAGTCCACTCTTTGCTGCTTGTTTGCTGCCGTCTGTTCTTGCAACATCTGAATTTTGTATGGTTATTTGCCCAACTCCTTTCTCAAGATCCTCCAAACGGTTGTGGTAGATAGCTTAGTTCTCTTAGCGATGTTCCTTACAGAACGTCGAGGGCTTTTGTCAAGGATTTGGTCGACTTTTTGATGTTTTTCTCATTAACTGCCGTTTTTGCACCCCCGCCTGTTGGTTTCCTTCTGAGAGTCAATTCTCTCTCAAATTTCGTCACTTGTCGCTGAATAGTCCTAAGATGAATTTTCCTGCCTGCATTACCGTATTTCTTTGAAAGTGCCCTCCTAGCAGCAGTCCAACTACTTCCGTTGACATAAAAAAGCTTGACCATGTCTACTCTCATTTTGTCTGATATGCCAGATTTTGACATTTTTTCGAAGAAAATTTCGAAAGGATACAAATTTGCGAAAAGATGAGTTTTGAAACGAATTTGTGAGAGATAACTAAAATGTAAGGTATAACCAGCATTTTAAAACTGATTGCATCTAATTTTGCTCCTTCATAAAATTAAAAATTAAAATTTTAAATTTGGACACGAGTCTCGAAACACCCTGTATGAACGAGAGTCCGTTTTCTTTATGAACAAATCCGTTTGGAGGGAGCCCAAGGAATCGAAAGTGAACATTATGTCAAGGAAAGATACGTATTTACCAGGATCTTCTATTTGGTACTCATCAATAATTAGGCCATGGGGGAGGAGTGCTTTGTTGACATCTGCAATCCAAATTTTGAACTCATCTGTAGTTCCCTCAAACAAACCTGCTCCGTCGTCAATGTAACGCCTGGCTGATACGATCTTCTTCATGAGCTCTGGGTTACTATAATCACATTTGTTCATTAGGTAGTAGACTGCTATGTTTGCGATTTGGACACATAGTGATCCACCCGTAGGGATACCAATAAGCTGTATGAACCAATTTTGATCGAACACCCCTACAGAGGATCGGAGGCTTAATTCCACCAGTTGTGTGAGCCATTGGCAGAAGTCTTCAGACCAATCTTCTCTACATGATGACATAGCGGACCTCAAGGCCTCTATGACGAGGGGTGGTGTTAGAGTCATAGAGGGCCTTAAAGTCGTAGGTAAACGATCTGAAGCCTTTCTTCTGTACTGGGGAATGTTCACTATCCACGAATTCCAACCATTGAAGGGCATCGGTGTTATCAGTCAAAAGGTCAGTGCAGAAATCCTTTTCAAGATCCTTCAGGTATTGGCTAGCAAGGAAAACATCACTGCGTTTTGTGATTCCATCTTGAAGTGCCGTGATGAGCCTGAAGGGGGGCTCGACTCCTGGTTTAAGGTCTTCCTTTTGAAGCTTGTGGATCTTTAGAGTGTGGTAGAAATAAGCTTTATCAGGTTTGAAATGGGAAGAGGTACTCTTATTGTTAGTAACTGTACCATCACTGTTCAAATTATTGGTTATACCCATGATGTTTTGGGCTTCGTTTGGTGTAACAAAGTTTTTATTTTTTCCCTCGATCCATAAATCAAATAGAGAAGGCCTACCTACCTATCGAACCTATCGAACCTATCGAACCTATCGAACCTATCGAACCTATCGAACGTAAGTTTAGAAGAAAGGCTAAGCATCTTCACAGTCATCAGGAAATCTGCGGACCACCTCCTTGACTGCACAAGTCGATTTATTAATTATCGAGTTAGAGTTTTCTGCACTGTATCCACGATCCAGGAGTAGGGGGCTTGCCTGGAAGGGGTTTAGTTTCTGATAAATGTCTTGAAGCTTGCCAGAATCTTTTGGGTATTGACAACTTTGGGGACAACATTCCAAAGTCTTCCAGCTCCCGCTGCGAATGAGTTACCGTAGACAGAGCGTGAGCAGCTGATGCTTTTTTGTGAGAAAAGGGAGTATTACTTATATATATAAACAAAAGCTCTAAGAAACAGATAGTAAACAAAGTAAACATTTCTGTCCCCTAATCTTTCTCAAACAAAAGTCATGCAATTTGCATACTTCTCCATTTAGCTCTATTCTGAGCGATTAAAGTTAAATTGTTTAAATCACATAAATTATTTAACGATAATTTTCGAACACTAAGGTCGTGTAGAATCAGTGAGAAAAGGTTTGACTGCGGTCTTCCACGCCGCCCTCGAAGCTGTAAGGTGTTAACAGCAAAAACAAGCGACGAATAGGCTGGACCATCTGTAGGCCCACGCAGTACATGTCCGAGCATCCTCCACCGACTACGAGCCACTTTAGCTGACAATGGTTCGCTATTGCAGCGTTTATACAAGTTCTTGTTGGAAATGATGTGAGGGTATTTGTAATTCAAAATTGATCGCAGATGACGTCTGTGAGCAATATCTAGTTTT